CAGAAATTTTCTGACAGCCATGATTGGATTCGCCTGCTTGTGTGGTATGGTGCAGGGTCCTGTTGCCAGACATAAGTTCTTCCCTTAGCCACCCTCTTAACCCAGGGCAGCACTTCTTCCTCAAGGCATTTGATGTGCCTCCGTGTTGAGCCTGGGGCCCTTACCAACAAATTTGAGAGTTCTTTTCTTAGAGTTTTCCGGGGTCTTGTAACTTCATAATGACCATTAGACTCATCCAAAACTTTCCGAATCCTCCCCACTGTCCTCAGATTAACACCCAAACACTCTGAAATTTTCGTATTAGAGCTTCAGGCGTGAATGCCAAGCAGTACAACATGCCGTTTCCAAATCTCTGTCGGTGTGAATTGTGTCATGATGCTCTTCTTACAGACGGTGCCCAACTGACCCCACTATACTGTGCAGTCGACAAAAACAAAAACAAACAACCCACATGCGCGAAATTAAAAATATAAAATGGCAACAATTTAACCATCGCAGCCTGTACATTCAGCATCAGATGAATATTTATGTAAAAGAAGGAAAAGAATATAAATTCAAACATTCATAACATTAATTTAAAAAAGGGCTCAATACAAGAGTAGAGCTATAAATATTTATTATAAACGGCTACTTTGGAACATGCAAGTTAACGCGATAAAAATGCATATTTGTTTTGACGTCTCATCAGGTGGTTAACAATGGTGGTAACCATCGTTCACCACCTAATGTTATGGCGTCAGTGATGAAGAGGTAACGAATTAGACTCGATATAGCGTCGCACTTCACAAATTCCGTGGTGTAGCACATCCAAGTTTCCCTTTCCCCGCAAAAAAAATAAAAAGGGAGACAGAAAATGGCGATTGACGTTGCATTTAAATTTATAACGAACGTAGGCGACAAAGAAACATGAAACCAGATGATATTTTCACAGGTAAGAAGTACGAGAAAAGAAACTATTAAAATAGAAGAGACGGTTACATACAGTTATTTCAACAGGCACGGTGGAGTAATGGATAGCGGCTCGGATTGAGGAATCGTAGTTCGAATTTTAGTCGAATCCATTACATTCACTTACGTGCTAATATCCTTGGGAAAGGTATATATCCTCTTCTTCTTATCGATAAATAGCAGGACAGACAGGGTTCTATAGCCTTGGATGGTAACTGGTCTACCGCAAAAAGATATGGCAACCTACTGCGGGAAAAATCTGCCTCGTCAGTCATGTATCGAAAGATACATGATCGCCTAAGCGTGTATCACGCATGGCACACAACTGACTGATTTCAACAGTGAAACGATGAGACCTAATTGCCAATCTAGTACCGCGCTTAAATTCACGCAGTCGAGGCACGAAGAAAAAAAGCTCATCAGAAGAGTTAGCGTGAAATTTTTAGTAGAAAAGACAGCGGCAAGCCACATCACGTCGCTGAGGAATTGACTGAAGTTGAGATGCCACGTCATGACCGATTACATTGCAGACCCTTTTTTGAATTTTGTCAAGAATCTCAAGAGTTATAGCAGGAGCACCAGACCAAATATGGACGGACAAATGGTAGATTTATAAATATGCAAGATGGATTCATGCGTGAAAATTGTCTGGCACGCCCCCATGAACCAAGTTTCCTAGCAACAGACCGAGCAATTGATTCAATATAATCACTCCATTGCATGTAAGTGGGAAACGTGAATAATATTGGAAAAACAATAAGCTGCAAACATGGAGGTTAGTATCAGCCATGATGATGGAAGAAAAATGGATTTCCGGATGATTGAAACATAATAGTTTCATTTTCGAAGTGTTAAAATTTACAGGCCATTTCTTGGCCTAAACAACTGATTGGAGGTAATTTTTGGGAACAACTTTATCGCATCCATCGGAATTACTGTTAAAAAGAGAGTAAATAGTTTTGCATATATATATATATATATATATATGACATTTCTCTCATCCTTTAACATCAATACACAGAAGTTTATTCGTAAGTATGAACGGATTTTATAAAAAATTAGCAGACATAATATCTGTAATTTATTCAATGAGACATGTCTAAAAGAGAATTTGTTGCCTAAACGCAAAAAATTTAATTATATATATATATATATATATATATATATATACCCACACACACACACACATATATATATATATATATATATATATATATATATATATATATATATATGGATTATTTTACTGAACAACCTGCACAATAGAATTGTTTAAAATTGGATAGGTGCAGGTGCCCTGCAATGCTCACTCTCCCCATCATCCCATGTATTGGTGCACTGTGCACCACTTTTCAGATGATGCTACAGTAGCAGGCTTTTTGGAAGGATAGGGATTTTCTATCTCCTTACTTCGTGCTGGTTTGAATTGAGCGTATTCCTTCTGCTAGACTGGTTACCAACCAAGGCTATAGGTCCTGCTAGTCACACCTAGCTTAGATAGTGAGAAAAGTTGTATGCATATCTTTCTCAAGGGTACATAAGGGCATAAATGAATGCAACGAATCCGACTGGAATTTGAACTATGCTCTCATCTAGGGACTGACCAGGCTTTTCGTTTCTTAACTTCGGTGATCGCTAGAACCGGTGGTTACATATGTGTGTGTATATGTGTGTATCTGTATATATATATATATATATATATATATATATATATATATATATGTATGTACGTATGTGTGTACATATATATATATATAAATATATGTGTGCGTGTGTGTATGCGTGTGTATGCTAATTCCTTATAAGACAGTATGTATGAATGGAGAGGGAAAACGCGCATACAATGCACAAAAATGGAACATACAGAGGTAATTAAAAGATAAAAATACAGATATCTTTCCACACTCTTTCTCTGCCTCTATCTTAATTGTCTTATTACCCTTTAAGCAGAAGAACTTTCTTACTACCAGTTCAAGAAAGACATTTGTGTCAATACTACCAGAAAAAATTTGAAAAAGTAAAAAAGAATGTTTAACATCGAAAACCATAAGGAAAATTAATTCATTTTAATAATATATGGAAAAAAATTCCAAATTCCAACCAAAAACATTTGCCGTCTCTCTCTTCTTTTTAAAATATACACTTTTCTCTCGTTAGAACAACTGTAACCTCTTTCCTACACACACACACACACACACACACACACACATATATATATATATATATATATATATATATATATATATATATGTTTCAAGTCATTTAAACGGTCAAAATGAGGTCATTTAAACGGTCAACTTGGAATTTTTATGTGTATTTAAAAAGAAAAGTAATCGACGTCAATATACGGTCCCGATGGAGAAAGATAACCTATTTATTATTGATTACTTTTTTTTTTTATTATTATAACAGCCTCCAGGATTTTCAGTCTTTTCTTGGACTGAATACTCAGGAAAAATAATATAAAAGAAAAATAAATATAAATTTTGTGAAATTTACTGATAATATAAAACGACAAATTCAGACAGAACTTCTCGATACATTTAAAAAGAATTTTTGTGCCAAAATACACTTTATATATATATATATATATATATATATATATATATATATATATATATATATATATATATATATATATGATAGTAAATTAATCGGAAAAAAACAACTAGCCCCAAATTATCAGTTCTCTTCGGTAATATAAGAGATGTGAAAACAAAGTCGCACTTCATTATTTATTTCTCGTTTCGTTGAGATAGGACAAAAGCATTTTCGAAAATTTCTGACTTTTTAAATCTTTTTCATTGTGCTGCCATTTGGCCTACTAACATACTGATATACAATTGGGTTGGTGCATAATTATCAGGCGTTTTTGTAGACGAGTTATTTGTTAAAAAATGCTGTTTTGTTTATCTTTTTTGATAAAAATATTATTTTATTTCCAGGTTATAAAAAGACGTGCCGATAATCCTACGCTCCAGAATAATCATTTAAAAATGTTATTGTTGAATTGTTATGTTTCTTTTTTCATAATAAATATTGTTTATAAAACGCCTGATAATTATGCAACAACCCACTATATTAATATACAATAAATATTAGTTTTAATATTAATCTTATTAATTTGTTGAGTATTTTGATCTTGATTTTTAGAATATTTCTTTCTCTCTCTCTCTCTCTCTATATATATATATATATATATATATATATTGGGTAGGTGGCACTCGACAGCCTGGGAAGGCAGTTCACCTAGGGGAAGGAAAAACCTTATTTCAAACCTCCGTTGTCTTGCGGCCATACCCAGAGATGGAGTCCGTAAGGCAGTTCGCCGTTGTACCAAAACCCGTTCTGGCAGCTCCTGCGACGACACCGGTCCCAAACTGTAGCGACCCTGTCGTTCCTTTGGTCTCACCGGTGACGTGAAGATGGGGGACATGTTACATGGCCAACAGCCCGTCCTCCATATCACATCGCCCAGGCTTGCATCCGAGCACACCACGCAGCACCAAAACACCCTGCACTACACCCAAAAAGGACAATCTAGCTTCGCCTTTGGCGTCGACACAACACGGAGAACGGCAGTTACCGGTAATAAGCTACCACTTGATTGACGTAGAGCGCAGCGCCAGGGGTCGTTATCGTCGGTGGAAAAAATTTCGGATCTCATTGGACAGCTACCACCCGCCTCAAGCTGGGCAGCCCCCAGCCAGTAAGGTGTTGTCCCGCCACGGTCTGCATTCTTCATTGGGTGCATAGAGATTAGGAGACATCCGACTACAACCTTCGCACTACACAACAAGAACAATTTTTAAAAGAAATCATCTCTAAAACTGGGCTGTTGGAACGTTCGGACTATGCTAACCGACCTCTCTGAAGACCCCCAGGACATCAGCGACTCCGGGAAAACTGCCGTCATCAACGTTGAGCTCAAGAGGCTTCATGTGGACATCGCCACTCTACAGGAAACATGCCTGGCTGACTCTGGATCACTGAAGAAGGACTACACATTCTTCCGGCAGAGGAAAAGCTCCAACCGACCACGCTAACACGGAATGGGCTTCGCAGTGAGGAACAACCTGCTGAATACGATACAACCAGGCAGCAACGGCTCCAAGAGACTCCTCACTATCCGCCTCAACACCAACGCAGGCCCTGTCACCTTCGTCAGAGTGTACGCCCCGACACTCTCTGCCACACCGGACATCAAGGACGAGTTTTATGACAAGCTGGCAACGACCATCAGCATTATACCCAGCAAGGACCAACTTGTTCTCCTGGGTGACTTCAACGCCAAAGTGGGTGCTGATCATGACTCTTGGCCTTCGTGCCTTGGACAGCAAGATGAACGACAACGGTCAGAGACTGCTCGAGCTATGCACTTACCACAACTTGTGCATAGCCAACTCCTTCAGGACCAAGCCCCAGCACAAGGTCTCCTAGAGACATCCACACTCAAAGCACTGGCACCAGCTGGATCTTATTCTGGTCAAACGATCCACCATTAAAAACGTCATTCAGACACGTTCTTACTACAGCGTGGATTGCGACACAGACCACTCATTAATATGCAGCAAGATCAAGCTCCAGCCCAAAAGGTTTCACTGCGGCAAGAAACAAGGGAATACTCGCAGTGATGTCAGGAAGATGGACAAGCCAGAACTTATGCCACATTTTGCCAAGAGGTTTGAGAACGAGCGGTTAACCTCACGGACAGGTAACTCTGCCACGGAGAAGTGGGCAACCTTGCGGGACACCATGCGCCTCACCTCCTTGTGTACCTTTGGGAGAAAAACCTCAAAGTCATATGACTGGTTTGAGGTAATGTCCGCCGAGATGACTCTTCTCATTGTGGCCAAACGATCCGCTCTTGCAGAATAAAAGCAGTCACCCAGCAAGAGAAACCTGCAGATCCTCCGGGCTGTCATGAGTAAAGCTCATCAAACTGCCAGACGATGTGCTAACGGATACTGGACATAGCTTAGCGAAATCATCTAGACAGCAGCAATTATAGGGAACATCAAAGGGATGTACGATGGCATCGAGATGGCAATGGGAGCCTGTGCTGAACAAGACAGCCCTCCTCAAATCCACCACCGGGGAAGTCACCGTAGACAAGAGGCAGCAGATGGAGAGATAGGTGGAACACTATTCCGACTTCTACTCGTTGTGACGACCGCAGCCCCTGATGCCATTGAGTGTCTGCCAGTCATTCAGGACCTCGACACCGAACCGACCATAGAGGAGCTTAGCAAGGCTATTGACAACTTAGCCTCAGGGAAGGCCCCTGGCAGTGACTGATGGGGCAATGCAAGACTGCCTTACTGCTGCCATTGTACGAGGTCCTCTACCAGTGCTGGAAAGAATGGACTGTACCTCATGAGAGACATGAGAGACACCAAGATCGTCACCCTCTAAAAGAAAAAGGGTGAGCGAAGCGACTCCAACGACTACAGAGGTATCTCGCTACTCATGGCTGTGGGCAAAATCTTCGCTCGGATCATCTTGCTCCGCCTGCAGAAACTTACCGAGCTGAAAGATCAACGGTAGACATGGTCTTCTCCCTCCGCCAACTCCAGGAGAAGTGCAGAAAACAGCAGATGCCCCTGTACGTCGCTTTTATCGATCTCACCAATGCATTTGATCTCGTCAGCGTAGAAGACCTCTTCAGAATCCTGCCCAAGATTGGCCGCCCCACCCCACAACCTGCAGAGCTTGATTGAGTCCTTCCAGCGAAAGTCAAGGGACTGTGCAGTTCAATGGCAACACCTCTGAGCCCTTCAACATCTGTAGTCGGGTGAAACAGAACTGCGTCCTCTCCCTTCGGAATCTTCTTCGTTCTGCTTCTGAAGCATTCATTCGGTACATCTAGAGATGGGATTTACCTGCGTACGAGATCAGATGGTAGGTTGTTCAATCTCGCTCGTCTCAGAGCCAGGACCAAAGTACGCGAAGCCCTTGTCAGAGACATGCTTTTTGCCGACGATGAGACGGTAGCTACTCACACCCACTGATGAACTGTTTCTCCTAGGCCTGCAGAGACTGAAAAAAGGTTCTTCCCTCCTACTTAACTCTTTAATAAGCAAACGTATTGTTTTCTGTTTTCAAAAGCAAAACATTTTCATCAAATTTACCGAACATCGCCTGATGATGGGATTAAAAATTTTAAGTCCCGAAACATAGAAATTTCCGTGTCGCAATGTAAAATATTTGAAAATAAAAATATCATTAAAAATATTATTCTCTACATTGTATTGAGCACTTTTAAAAAAAAAAAAAAAGTAAATGTCAGAGAAATGTGGATTCTAAATCTGTTCTTTCTCTTCATTTGATATATATATATATATATATATATATATATATATATATATATATATATATATATATATATATATTGTGTGTATTTAGGCATTTTTATTGATGCATGTTTCATTAAATAATATAGACAAGTATTGTCTATTTATTTTATGTAAATTCTTTTCATATCGTCTGATAAGCTTAATAACATTGTCATTAAACGAAGAAAGAAAATCACAATATTGATACATATTTTTTAATCCTATCTAAGCTTTCGGCTTACATAAGCTATTATCAAAGATGACAATTACATTACAATATATTAAGCAATACACGGACAAAACAATGATGATAGTCTGTTTCTGTTTACATGGAAGATTTCCAAGCAATGATAAACTTGAGCATACAAGACGCTGGAAGCGAAAATCGCATCGCAGCTCATGACGTCACACATGACCATGCGAGAGTGAATTCGAGAAGTATTAAGTATGGGAAGCCGTTGATATAAACCAATGGCTTCTGTTATCAATTATAGGCATTTAAGAATATTTGTGGAGATTTTGTAGTTTATTTTGTTCAGGTTAGGTTTCAACTGTTTTATGTATAGAGTTTCAAGAATTTTTAGTTTTTGTTTATTGTTTTCAAGTTTAAGTATAGTTGTGTTTTCAACGAGGATTTTCCGGAATTGTGTACTTGGCCAGGTATGTTGTTTTAAATGCCTAAAAATGTTAGAGTTATCATTCAAATGTAGTGTCAAGCGTCGTGAAAGCGAGTTTGTGATGTGACCAACATAAATATTATTTAATTCGTTGCAGATACAATCTCCCAAAGGACACTTGAATTCATAACCTATGTTGGTTTTTTGCAAATCGATAACCGGGGGAGAAGAATCATTGCGAATAATTGAGTTGGATATACAAGATTTAGTGAAGTATATGAGTAACTTAATTTTTCTGCTAGGATCTGTTGTACATATATTAGTATTTCCTTTTTTTTAGTATATTTTCATCTTGTTTATCATTAGTATGCATTTGAGTACGATATAAGAGATTAATATGTTTGAGATGTCGCTTTCTGTCTGCAATCCGTCTAGTCTCGCCGAAGCCTAGAAGAGCAGTGGCCTCCCACGTCCACTCGCCGGGTTTTTAATCGGTAGCGTGGTTCTCTTATGCAAATAAGTCTGCTGCATAAAAATGGCAGTAGGCGCACACGCGACCGACTCTCAGAGAATGGTTCGACACGCGAGGCAGCGAATTCGCTTTGCTCCTGGTAAGTCACTGTCACTTCTATTACACTCCCCCCTGATCGTATGATCACATAAGTGACAGTGAGGGGCTGGTCGTTTCACCCTTGCACTTCTTCGCGGTGGTATAACCATGACTTCCTCCCCGGCTGAATCGTCAGATGTGTCCTGGTCTGAATCATATTCCGGGGGATCATTAAGGATCAAGTCTACTTCTTTCTCGCTTTCAGATGAGGTGTCGCTGCTGCTTGCACTGGAGCTTGGTTCTTGCCATTCATTACTCCCCTGACGTTGTGTCACCGCCATCATCCGTTGGTAACAATGAAGTGAGCCGTGGACGTACATCTCCCACGTGTCGCAGTATCCCGTCGATGACTACCGACTGCGGACTGTTTATTCCCGTGACACGACCTTTCACAAACTTTGACGTGCAGCGTCCGTGCGGATTTTTTACCCAAACTGCGTCTCCTTCTTTATACCGAGTCGAAGTCGCCCGGTTAGGCGAGGGCACAATGTCAATTCCTTTTATTCGAATTTTGTACGAATGCAGCAGATTGGCGGGCGCAGAAGAGGCAGACACATCATCCCTGGGTGTAATGTTATACCAATACACGGCCTCCATAATAGAGCAGCTCTTTCGCGCAGCAATCCGTTTGATTGTCCGATGACACCTCTCTACAATACCATTTCCAGATGGTTTGTACGCGCAGCGCGGTCGGAATCGGACGTCCCATTCTTCCATGAATTGCTGACTGCGGAATGCAGTGTCATTATCAGCCAGGATTTCCACCGGGGCACCACGTTCGAAAAACACCGACTCCAATTGCCGGATTACGTGTGCAGCGTCTTGCCGAACTAGTGGTCGCCAGATCGAAAACCGTGTGGGGCCGCAATCGATCAGAGTCAAAAAATGGCGACCGTTATAGTGTGTAATGTCCATTCCCAGACGACTCCAAGTTTCACGCACACTGAGCTCTCCCTTCTGCCATCGCACAGAAGCTGGATCTATTGACTGACACTGTTCACAACTTCGAACGACCGATCTTACTGCTGCTTTTCGACACGGACGGGTTGATCCTACGTGCGAAATATAGTGTCCGTTTAACTCCAGGGTGCCCGCTGTGTCGATGAATCTCAGTTAACTGAGCAAGGCTCGGGTTTCCTACGGCAGAAGCACATACTGGTTGAACAGGTTCGAGTTCCTTCACATTGTTGAACCACCTCTGGGGAACTCTAGTCAGCAAGTCAGCTCGGTTCTGGTCGGATCTAACTAGCGCTATGTCAACGGAAAGTTTATACTCTTTCACAAGAGACGTTAGAGTTTCAAGTCGTCGCCTTATGAGCATCTCGCTAGCGGCCTTGGTGTTCAGCCGAGACTTTCCCGTAAGGGCATTAGTCACCCAATGGTACACGCAGAGGGAGTCTGTGTTCACATGTAATACCGTAGCCTGCCATTTTAGCGCGAGGTTGATTCCCTTCAGTACGGCATCCAGTTCAGCCACATTGATATGCTGGGTGTTTTTTATCGGCCGTAGCCAGCATGCGTCCTCGATGATGGCTCCCTTAGCCTCGAGCGCTACTCCTACAGCCAGCGAACTCGCGTCCACCCACACGTCTAGCTCCTTCGTATTCACGCACCATTCTCCCTGTGCAGGATCCAGTTGCTGAGCCCGGGCGAGGGTGTCCGTTATCATACGTTCCAGGGGAGCATCACAAATTTTGTCGTCCCAGTTTTGCGTTACGGCAGTGGCTCGACGTTTGATGACGCCTGTCGCCACTCGCAGCCATCCCACACGGGGAAGTGTCCCACCAGCTGGCCCACATGGAGAAAATACCTCTCCGTGTCATAGTCATAGGGCCGTTTACCATTCTACTTCCTCGTCGCCATCGCAGTCGACCCTGTTCCTTCCATACTTCTAGCCCCAGCACTCTGGCTCCGTCCTGTAACTTCTCTGGATCCTTGCTCGT